ACGCTAAACACATTTTAGATTAGAAAATTTCAAGTTCCCCGCTCAGGAGAGGAAAAAGTCTGAAAGAAACACTGGTGTTGCACTTAGCCACTACTCGAAGAATTGCTTGAAATAAACTCTACACGCAAAACGCGAAGCCCCACCCGAAAAATTGCATGAAAGAAACTGCACGCAAACCACTTTTTAGCTTACACACATTATTTAGGCGGTAATTTTATTATAGAGTATCGATGACGACATTTCTTTTGAGATGGGGGGGGGGGGCTTAGATGTTCTTTCTCGAGGGGGGGGGGGGGGCTTTGCCCCTACCAGAAGAATTGTATGAAAGAAACTCTTCACGCAAACCACTTAGATTGGACAAAATTGGCTTTTTAATTCAATGTTTACTCGAGAATCAATGACGTTATATATATTTTGTGCACTCTCCCAGCTTTCGACTCTTTTCTACTATATGCTCAATATGAAGTCATATTTCGTTTCTATTTTACTATGAAAGTTTTTATTTTGCTTGTGTTTTCTCTATCGCGTTCTTGTCAGATATAGATAGATAGATACATAGACAGAAACAGACAGCGAAACTATTAGTATAGATAAAAGTTTATAGCTTATTTCTATAATTATTAAAAAAAAAAATGACCACCCTTCCATTTAAAAATGTTCAAAATTTGGGCTTTTAGAAACATTCTGGGTCAGAAAAATATAGGCCTAGCAGTTAAATTATAGAAATCATTAATAGTAAAATATGTCTAAAAAACATTTTTTTCTGTAGTTAAGCATTTACGTGGCTAATTATAATTGTTTAGTACTTTAAACAGATAGTTATGACCTGATAGACTAGATAAACCAGTTGTTAAAAAACATTATTACAATTTAATAGGCCCCTAGTATATAATTGGTAATGAATGGAAATATATAATTAGATCTAGAACTGGTCCATAAACCAATTTAAATGATAGTCTTTATAATGCTACTTGAAATAAATCAGATGCATTAAAAATACTTAAAACATCTAGGATTGGTGACCTAATTTTACTGATTACAGCATGGTTGCCAACCAAAAAATGTGCTACATCTAGATACACAATCACCCAAAAACATTGTAAAACTGAAGTTTATACTTAAATTCAAATCCATCACTAAAAATGTAAGTTATTTTTCATATTGATGGTTATAAGTTTTAAAAAAATATGCATGGTACTAAAAAGATTTAATAATCAGTGGCGTTCTCGTTTCCCATCGTCAAACACTTCTGTCAAATTAAAAAAAACTCTACAGTGCACCGTGTACGTGTGCATGCCTAAATCGAATATTGATTCTCTACAATTGACAATCATTTTAAGCACAAAAAAATTATATCTGCACTAAAATTAAATGTAACTTTAACACATAATAGATTTTACTAATCTGTTATTAAACTACATGCTTTGAAGCAAAAACCGACAACGTTTATTCCCAAAAAAAAAGTAATTGAAATCAGCACTTTCTGCGGCACCGAAGTATCACAGTTATATGCGTTTTTTAAAGTTAAAAAATTGACAAAAGAACTTTATCTTACATTTATCATATACAGCATTCATTCCTGTAAAAAATCGACTTTTAAGTAATTAAAATAACTAATAACATGGTAATCATTATAACAATAATTTTTGTTATTTTCACACATAAACAAAGCACTAAAAGTACATTTTGAGTGTGGTTTTTGACATGATTTTTCTTTGGGAGCACAACTTTTTTCTGACTGTACCAAACACAATGTGCCTCTGTTATCCTCCCTTATTGACACGTTCTATTTTGTGGTCTTTCACATGTGGCAATAGTTGTTGGACCTGCTTCCAAGAGCAACAACAATGAGCTGTATAAACAAACACCAAACTAAAGCAACAATACTGCTCAATAACATGAATGTTTTGCATATACGCTGTATCAAAGGCCTGCTTCTTAATAGTTTATCAACTTTAAAGTTGAAGGACCAGCTGTTTGATCCTGCTTTTATAATTTGTTCTACTATCTGATTGCAACTCCTCAAGAAGATGTTTATTCTCGTTTTCATAGAGATACTTCTCAGATGACTTGATACTTAGATAAAATATGAATAACTTTCAATATTTGGTTATAAAAGGGAAACATTTTGGTACAAAATGATGAAATAGTTTTGGTGTACAAACAAACCAATAATTAGTTCTTTTACACTGGCATAGAAGTAGTGTTTTTAAATTGTCTTGAGATTTATTTAGATATTTTTTTTTCTGCTTTTAACTTTTCAAAATGATTAATAAGTTCCTTGAGGTCCATTTTACTAATTGTTGTACTTTTAGTCGCGTGACCTTGTTTGCTAAAAATGAGATTGTTGAAATGTAAAAAACGGCTCTGCTATTTATTTAGGATCTTTGTTGCTGGGGCGTGGGTTTGTCCGCACTACCGCTCAGACGCCCTTGGGCGTGCTGTGTGAAAGCATTGAGTGCATGTTCATCAACCTCCGTAATAGGGAGGTTGAATACCTTTCAGCGACCGCCTACAGACGTTGCAGATGTTACTGGTTACACTACCGTATGTAGACGGATGCGGCCCCTGGTTCGGTTTTAATCATCTAACGTAAAGGCTCACTGTGTCACTAGTGTAGGGTGCGCTTGTGCTTGGTGTCATCCGTACACCTGGGACGTCGCAGTTTGATCGATGCAGGGCGCGCAATCAGTGGATCCCTTGCACTCAGGTAGCCGCGGCTATATCGGGGAGCCCAACCTTTGCTCCTGCTGATGCACTGGAGGAAATCCCTTGTTCGATTTGGTAATTGATTTGAGAAGCTCTTCGCATTCCTAGTGTATGACGCTCATTAAAACGGATATAGGCGCCGTAGTGTTCATGCCTGAGCCCGAGACGCACCTGGTTACACGACCGCCGGGCGCGGCTTGATGCGCCAGTGCAATTTGCCTGCAAATTAAGTAGTAACACTGACCCACTGCGCCGGATACCCAATCAACAGATCCCAGATGCTAAGATAGCCGCTGGGAAAATCTGGGTGGCAAACCGCACGACCCAATCAACAGATCCCAGATGCTAAGATAGCCGCTGGGAAAATCTGGGTGGCAAACCGCACGGCTTTACTGCTGGGCCCCGCCATTCGAAATAAAATGAATATTTTATGCCAGAAACATTCCCAAATTTCAGAGTTTCTTTTAGGCACCTTTCTAGAAAATTATCTGGGAAAAAACACTGCCATGCAATATTCATAACAACTTTCCAAAGTTTCTTGGTGATTGCTTGAAAACCAAAAACTTATAGTTTTAGTAGCTCCCTATTAGTTAAAGATAAATTAGATCAACAAACAAAATGTCATTAAAGTAAAAATTATTAGAAAAAAAAGACAGCTTGTGAAAACACTGTCTCAACATATTCCCAAAGTTTCATAGCGATCGTGTGAACGGTGTCACTGCAATTCACTTTTATTATTTTTATATACTCTAGCGAATTTGAATTTTTTTTTTCCGCAGAAACCTTCCCAGGAAAATTCACAACAACTACCCAAAGTTTCACGGCAATGTGATGAGAGGTGTAGTAATACATAAAAGACAAACACACACACACATACATTGCTTTTTATATATATACTAGCCGTCCCGGCCAGGCCCTGCTCTAGCTTCTGTGAAAAACCTTCCTGTTAAAGACCATTATCTGTGTGTTTAGTAATCATCATAAACCTGGCATTGCCCACCTAAACCACAACCAACCAAAACAACAAAACGCAAACATAACGCTAACACAATTACAAATACAAACGAAAACAAAAACCTAACAACAAACCCAAAGAAAAAAACACAAACAAAAACGAAAAAAAGAAAGAACAAAAACGAACCAAATCAAACCGCAACCACTAACGCAAACCCAACCTAAACACAAAGAAAACACTAACGCGAACATAAACGCAAAGTGCTCACAGTCTAGCAAGGGGCGGAATCACCTGCTTTAGCTTAATAAACGACTATAGTACCCAACTTATTCATAGTCTTTTGCACTCACTTAAATGAACGCGCCTGTTTCAATTTAATGAACAATTATAATACTCCAAGCTTATCCGTAAAATACCTACAACATTTGCACTTGATCAATCCCCGCTAATTATGTAATTATTTTTTTTCCCAACACCAAAACAAAGTAATAAAAAGTAAATTCTTTTCCACTAATGCAATGGTTTTATAAAGGGAAGTAATTGTGTTTTCCTAATTTATCAAAGTAAATAAGTGCTATAGGACTAAATAAAGACATAATTAGAATTTTTGTAAAAGATGATATTTTTAAAACTTGTGTTTAATGAACATGCCGAAAATTATTACTTTCAGTTTGATAAATTAAAATTATTTCCCAAAACTTTCTATATTAATTTTTTAACTCATAAATTTAGACCATAAGGACTTTAATAATCTAACACTTAAATCCATCGAAGTATGTCAACGACAAACTTATTACAAACATACAGAATTGAGTTTTATATATATATATATATATAGAAATATATATATAGATATATATATATATAAATATATATATATATAGATATATAGATATATATATATAGATATATATATATAGATATATATATATAGATATATATATATAGATATATATATATAGATATATATATATAGATATATATATATAGATATATATATATAGATATATATATATAGATATATATATATAGATATATATATATATATAGATATATATATATAGATATATATATATATATAGATATATATATATATATATATAGATATATATATATATATATAGATATATATATATATAGATATATATATATATAGATATATATATAGATAGATATATATATATATAGATATATATAGATATATATATATAGATATATATATATAGATATATATATATAGATATAAAAAATAAGTAGAGAAAAGTAATCCAATTAAAATGAATGTAAAAAAGGTACATGCATGCCCTGTAAACTATGTCATTGAGAGATGGCTGTAGACCAACAGAAGTCATTCAAGCCAATTCACTGCTTACAGCCTTAAAAGAGGTTGTGTTTTTCACTAATTCTTCTGCCTGCCTAATGATGCTTTCAGTATAGGATATTTCCAGTTGTTTTCCCTGTGGCTTAGAAGGTTAAGTTACTTTAAGTTTTGGTTGTTGAAAATATGAAGACATCCTATCTTTAAGTGCGTTCTTGTTCACTGATGCGAGCAAGTATCAGTGCTTGAGCTATTAGTCAGAGCTAGCAAGTATCAGTGCTTAAGCTATTAGTCAGAGCTAGCAAGCCTGCTCTTATTAACTCTAAACAAAGTATGGTTCTGCTCTGCTGATAATGCAAGAGAGCTATTCATGCTTCAGTGAGCAGATATTCAAAGACCCAGTCATCACTGGAAGCCAGGTCAGACAGGCTTACAGCTGCAATAACATTGGTAGATATACACATTTTCTTCTTCTCTTTTAATGTCATAATTATAACATACACTGATTTTTAAATCACATTAGTTACAGCTCTTAAGAAATTCATGGTTAGGCAGTGACTAGATTGAAAGTGATTGGAATAGACCATGGCAGTGGCGAGATTGAGAGAAGTTCTTACTGTCTGATCCATCTTTTATCTATCTATATTTAAAAAAAAGTAATGTGTGTGTGTGTATTTGTCTGTCTGTTTGTCTTTTATGTATTACTACACCTTTCATCCGATCGCCATGAAACTTAGTGAAATTGTTGAGAATACTCTTGGGGAGGTATCTGCAAAAAAAAAAAATTCAAATTAGCAGGGGTGGTTTATAAAAAAAGTCGATTGCCTGGGAGGGAGGGTGCGATTTTTCTCAATATACGGGTATATAACAAAATAAAAGTTTGATGCTGTTCGACATTATTCATCTGAGTGCTATGAAACTTTGGGGAGTTGATTAGAATACTCTAAGAATGTTTCTGCGGGGGAGGGGGGATCAATTTTGCATGGGCAGCCCCTGGCAGGGTGCGATTTGGCTGCCCCTCTTAGTCCCAGACACCTGGGTGGTCACTGAAATGTGTTCTACCTCACTATTACAGTGAGTCATTAACATACACTCAAAGCTTTCATGCAATAAGTAAACCCGTGCCCCGATAAATATGATCCAAGCGCAGGCATTATTTACATTTAACTAACTCATATTTATGATTTTGACCTAAAGGTTACAGAATTACCTTTCTACCCTTATAAAAAATAAAAATTGTCAATGACACCATTAGACCAGATGGGAGGAGGGGTGTGTTTGACACCTATTGCAACTTTCACAGACAATGTACTAATCAGAACAAAATACCCCAACCAACAAAAAATATTAAATCAGCATATGATTAAGTAACTTATCAATGCTAAATTCATAAAATGCTTATCAGAAGCCTCCAAGTGTGAAAGTGTGTGTGTGTGTTGGAAGGAGGTAACTCCAGTAAAACAATTGCCTATTTAATTGTGCAAGTTGGCTTCAGTAACTTTGCCGTATGACATTATTCTTACAAAAGTTCCTACAGGGTTTAATTGGACTTGCTACCTCTGCAGTGCCTTTGTCGGCTGGAAACTGGCAAGCAAAATTTTCATCACTTCTAACTGACCAATTTTTCTTTCAAAATTTGGCACGTGGGTTAAGACCTGATAACAATGCAATCCCACATTAAATTTGACTTAATTAGATGTTATATTAATTTTTATAGAATTAATTTGCTATATGAAGTAATATTTACCCAAAAATTATATGCACATTTTTCTTGTTCAGTTAGTGCGCAATTGTTTTTGGTCATGCAATTCTTTCCAAAAGGCCCCAAATTTGTTTTTCCCAGAAAGCACCTTTTGCAACCAAAATTGAATATTTTATACCATTTGTGTAATAAGTACAAAATTACTTCCAATTTCATTAAGGCTAGAAATAGTCAAAGAAATAATTAGGCTACTAGTTAGCAAATACTTTTATTTTGAATTTGGATTAGTAGAGTCGTGGTGTTGTGGTGGTTGGGGATGTTACATTATTTAATATAAATACAATACTACGCTTTACACCGTAGATCATTGTTGTGTATTTTTTCATAGAAAAAATTTGTTCTGACTTTTATTGTTTTATTCTCCCTGGCCAATCCGGTTGACTTCAATGAGAGGTTGAGGGCAATTTTGAAAATATTTGAATTGATAAAATAATTCTAAATGGCTTTTCAACAGCTTATATTCATTACAAAAATATAAAAATGAGTGTAATTGATTATTTCCAAACGGCTTTAAGTTTAAAAATGTAACTATAATTTTATCGCTTGCCATATTTATTAAAAAAATGCATAAAAAACTTTTTAATAACAATCTTTTATATAATGATGCACTTAAAGGAGAAAATAAAATGATTTTCTTTAAATATATAATAATGTACTACTATTTAAATAACTAAAAAGAAAAGTGTTGGTCCTTATGTACTGTAGGCCTATGTGTTTATTAGAGTCTAAGAAACAGTTAGGAATTTAATTTTAGAACTAAAAATTGTTCTTTAAAAAAATTACAATTGTTCTTTATTGAAAGAGTGATCGCGCTTGGAGGCTGTGTACCTCACGATTTTACGCACTATTATTACTTTCACGTATATACAAAGTATAAAGAAAGTCTTGTAAGCGTGCAAAAAAAAATTCGAGATTTGACTTTTTACACCTCCCTGAGTTACAAAAACATTTTTTTGCAATCTTGTCCGTGCGTGTGTGTCTATAAATACGATAATTTGAGTACCGTTACAACAAGGTTGATGAAATTTCATATATGGCAGAAAGCAGATCCAACCCTCAAGCGTCTACTTCTAGGGTCAATTTTCGCCAATTTCCAAAGTAACAAATATTGACATATTATATATCAATTTTATTGCTTAACAATCGAGGAATTAAAAAATATAAAAATTAATAGCACTAGACATTTACATCACGTCATTAGATTAACCACACTCACTCAACTGAAATTTTTTTTTACATCTAAATATAATGAGGTCTAAAAATCAACTAAATTCACAAAATTGATAATATAATTACACAGAAATGTCCCTTAGGCATAAATTTATTTGCAATTATGTCAAACTTTACAAAATATACCAGTTTAAAGCTTATTTCTATAATTATTCTTGAAAAAAAAACGACCGCTATCCCCTTTAAAAAATGTTCAAAATTCTGTCTTTCAGAAACACTCTGGGGAAGAAAAAAATAACAGAGTTAAATATAGAAGGTCTATATATAAAACATTATTAGTAAAATATGTCTATATGCCAATTTTTATTATAGTTGCAGCATTTACATGGCTAATTATAATTGTTTAGTACTTTAAACATTAATTTAAAGTTACGACTGTCTGTGGCGTCATTCAAGTGTAGTGTCAGTGTAGGTGAACTGGGTGTTAGGGCCTGATACGATTTCATTAGAATTGATAATGAATAGAATGTATAATTAGAACTGGCCTATAAAAACAATGTTGATGATAGATGCAGTCGTTTTAATGCTACTTATAATAGATCAAAATGACAAACATAATTAAAACCTAAGAATCTGGAAGCGGTGACCTCATTTTACTGACACGGTTGTCAAATAGAAAATAGATCTAGATCTACGTAATTTTAAAAATAATTTTGAAAATATGTTAGATCTAGAAGCAAAATCACTTTTAAAAACTGAAGTTAGTCATTAGATCTATAATGAAATTGAAATCCACAACTAATATGTAAGTATCTTTTGATAAAAAAAAATTCGCTTAGTTCTAAGAAGAAAAAAAAATTCTATGGTGTACTCGCTCCCTATCCCAAAACGTGCCAGCCATATTGCATGCGTAGTCAGCTATTCAGCTGCTTAACAAATATACGAATTTTAAACTTATATAATAAAAGTAGGACACCCAAAAAAAAAGAGTAAAATGGCTCCCGTTTTCACGACAGCCGTCACTCAATTAATAGTTTACAGAGTTATAAAGTTCTGCTTTCTTTTGTCTATAGATTTTAAGAAATATTAATTTATTTCTCATGCATTTTAACAATTGTACCTAATTTTATCTAAGAATAAACATTAGATAAGTAAGAAAGGACTTGATTCTTTTTTAGAATTAGCCCTCGACACTATTCAGACTAATGCGAAAAAACAAACTCCCGCAAAGGTCGTGCGAAGGCTGGTTCAGTGGGCGAAGGTTAGAACTCGATTTCAGACAGAAAATTTTTACTTTGAAATAATTACATTATCAATTAATTTCGATTTCAAACAAATGGCTTAAAGTCAGAAGTAAATTAAAATTTAAAAACTTTGTTATTCGCAGTGTACTCAAAATTCTCGTGTTTTAAAGTCTAGTCTTACTACATGTGCGTGCATGGTGCGAATATCGATTTTTTCCCGACAGAAAATCATTAAAAAAAAATTTTAAAAGTATCTGCAGGAAGATAATACTTATAATTATATTTTACAAAATTAAATAGATTTTACTTAACTGTTATTTAAATACATGCCTCTGAATAAAAACATACAATTTTATATCCGTAAAAAATTAAACTGAAATTCCTGCTTTCAACGACGCCGATGTGTCGTAATTATGGGCATTCATTTTGTTCAAATTAAAGTAAAAAACGCATTCAAATATACTTTTTTTTTACTTTCATAATTTACAGCAATCATTTCTAATGAAAAATCCATCCTTTCCAAGTAGATCCATTCTGTCTAGATTTGCATACTTTGCATCCTTCGCCGCAGCACAAAATGTCATAAAAAAAGAATTCCACAAAAATGTTGGTAACCAAAATCCCCGAAAGATGTCTGGTTAGAAAGTTTATGAACGGCGAAGATCGAATATGCATTTTGCTGTACCAATCTGTTTCCTGCCATATAAGTATTATATCAAAATCGTAGATCTGTATCAACTTTTGAGACATTTCCGATAAGCGGAAGTGGAACTTTTTATACTTTCAATTTTTCAAAAGCCTGTAACTTGAGTACTATTTCAGATAGATAAATGAAATTTCACTTGTAAGTAAAAGATCTAATTCTCTGCCTTCTATCAAATTTTGAGTAATTTCCGTCGACGGGAAGTGGTAATTTTCACGATTTCCGATTTGTCAAAAAAAGGCATGTGAATTTGTAAAGTACCAATAATATTCCGCACTATTATACACATTTTGTTTTTCGTTCACTTGGTGTGCAATGCTTTTTTCTATGAGATTCTATTCTATTTTTAAAAGTTTAAGTAGTTAAAAATGGATTAAAAATCATGTCTATTTCTGAGTTGCCATCCCCTGTTGTTTTATATAAGAATATTAGAGAAAGTTTATGGGAGATCACTGCCAGTTTATTTGTAAAGGTAGTGAGAGGTTGCAGGCAGTCAAGAAATACTTATTAAACAGGGTGGGTTAGTGATGTCATTTGATGTTATTTGTGGCTCTCTTGCTATTAATGGCTAGATATATATGGGTTGGGATAAAATTTGTCTAATCAACGTGATGTCATATTACTTTTGCTACTAAACAATGCACACAATTGCAGCTGCATATGTTTCTATAATAAACCACCTTTCCCCCTTTTCTAGTTATAAGTTTTAATTTTTAAAAAAAGGTTGTTTTTTTTTTGTACATACCAACATGTATATGTTTGTATTCATAAAAATAATGCATCTAAATCTAATTATTCCATTGCAGATTAACTATGGATTATAGTTTCATCTGTTTGGGATGCCAGTATACTGAATTTTGTTAAATTATTTCTTACTAAAGAAGATCTCAACAACCTTGTTACCTCTCTCAAATTTTGCAGCACAATGGCGTCATTTGGTTAGATTTTTGAGCTCAAGCTATTCCAGCTTGTCTAGTACTGCTGCATCATAAGGCAGTTCAGGATTGTGCAGGACTTCTGTAAACAATGGATTAATTATTGTGTAATATTTCTCTGCTGAGTTTCATGTGTTATCAGACTTTATCCAGTATGTGTTTGTGGAATGTGATCACAGGATAAAAATGAGAGTTGCTGATGACCTTGTTTGGAAGCCAGGAAGATATTCTTTGTTTGGATTATTTCTATGGGTGGCCATGTCTTCTGGTAAGTCATCCTTATACATATTTTGATTGGTCATAGGTTCTGTGTGTCCAATCTAGTCATAGGTTCTGTGTGTCCAATCTAGTCATAAGTTCTATGTGTCCAATCTAGTCATAAGTTCTGTGTCCAATCTAGTCATAAGTTCTGTGTGTCCAATCTAGTCATAAGTTCTGTGTGTCCAATCTAGTCATAAGTTCTGTGTGTCCAATCTAGTCATAAGTTCTGTGTGTCCAATCTAGTCATAAGTTCTGTGTGTCCAATCTAGTCATAAGTTCTGTGTGTCCAATCTAGTCATAAGTTCTGTGTGTCCAATCTAGTCACAACTGTGTGTCCAATCTAGTCATAAGTTCTGTGTGTCCAATCTAGTCACAACTGTGTGTCCAATCTAGTCATAAGTTCTGTGTGTCCAATCTAGTCATAAGTTCTATGTGTCCAATCTAGTCATAAGTTCTGTGTGTCCAATCTAGTCATAAGTTCTGTGTCCAATCTAGTCATAAGTTCTGTGTGTCCAATCTAGTCATAAGTTCTGTGTGTCCAATCTAGTCATAAGTTCTATGTGTCCAATCTAGTCACAACTGTGTGTCCAATCTAGTCACAACTGTGTGTCCAATCTAGTCATAAGTTCTGTGTGTCCAATCTAGTCATAAGTTCTGTGTGTCCAATCTAGTTATAAGTTCTGTGTGTCCAATCTAATGATGAGTTTTGTGAGGTTGTTGTATCATTAGTATCATGTACATCCACGGTATGACAGATACTGGACTTCAATTTGTAACATCTTAGATCACACTATCTTTCACTAAAAATGGTTACAGACATGAGTAAGTTATACAAACTGGTTACTGACATGAGTAAGTTATACAAACTGGTTACAGACATTAGTTATACAAACTGGTTATAGACGTGAGTTATACAAACTGGTTACTGACATAAGTTATACAAACTGGTTACTGACATGAGTAAGTTATACAAACTGGTTACAGACATTAGTTATACAAACTGGTTACAGACATTAGTTATACAAACTGGTTACAGACATAAGTTATACAAACTGGTTACACTACAGACATAAGTTATACAAACTGGTTACTGACATGAGTAAGTTATACAAACTGGTAACTGACATAAGTTATAAAAACTGGTTACTGACATAAGTTATACAAACTGGTTACTGACATGAGTTATACAAACTGGTTACAGACATGAGTTATACAAACTGGTTACAGACATGAGTTATACAAACTGGTTACTGACATAAGTTATACAAACTGGTTACTGACATGAGTTATACAAACTGGTTATAGACGTGAGTTATACAAACTGGTTATAGACGTGAGTTATACAAACTGGTTATAGACGTGAGTTATACAAACTGGTTATAGACATGAGTTATACAAACTGGTTATAGACGTGAGTTATACAAACTGGTTACAGACATGAGTTATACAAACTGGTTACTGACATAAGTTATACAAACTGGTTACTGACATGAGTTATACAAACTGGTTATAGACGTGAGTTATACAAACTGGTTATAGACGTGAGTTATACAAACTGGTTATAGATGTGAGTTATACAAACTGGTTATAGACGTGAGTTATACAACCTGGTTACAGACGTGAGTTATACAAACTGGTTACTGACATAAGTTATACAAACTGGTTACTGACATGAGTAAGTTATACAAACTGGTTACTGACATAAGTTATACAAACTGGTTACTGACATAAGTTATACAAACTGGTTACTGACAAGTAAAACAAAAACAAATTGCATACAAGACCAGAGTGTTTTAGGGAAATGATAGTTCCCAGCTGTTGTTGATCAGTCCTGACAGTCCTGAGCTCACTGATCAATGGAGCAGATGTGTCAACTTTTGATACAAGAATAGACTAGTAAATAGATCATAGAGGAGTTCTCAGGGAATAATCAAGTCTTTGTTAAAAGACGTTTGGCATTGTTTTGTATGTTAACACTTTACTCTTTCCAAGTGTCATTTAACTGTCACTTTTTGTTTTGTGCTCTGACAGCAACCATTCTGTAATAATAAGTTCAATGGTCCATATGTCAGAAAACATTACTAATTGTCAGATGAAGAAACTCTCTAAATGTACCTCAAACTAAGTTATGCAACTTTAATTCACAGTTTATATTAGATTGTGAATATGAATAAAAAGCCATTACATTAGATGGTGAATTTAAAAAAGGTGAGACATTAGATGGTGAATTTGAGAAAGGTGACATTATATATGGTGTCTATAGATAATAGTAACAACTGGAACCAGGCCAGCTCTCAATGTTTAGAGTACTAAAAACAGCTCTAGACAGCTGTACCAACCAGTAGAGGAACTTGAACCTCTAAATTCAAACTGAACTAGTTGTATCAGGTGGCGGTTTTGTTTTGAAGGTGCTTTTAAACATTTAAATATGGTGAATTTTGGACTGGACTTTTAATATAAAGGAAGTAGCACTGTTTAGTGAAACACATATTGGGACATAGCATTTTCTAATGCTTAGTTACTTTTGTGATTAACATTGCCATATGCAATTGGTCTTAACAATTGAGTTAAAAAATTTAGTGCCATTTTCTTTGATCATTGACCATTGTGTTAAAAGTTGACATTTAGCCTCAACAGTGACCATGTAATTTTAAAAAGTTATGTGTTAAAAGTTGACATTTAGCCTCAACAGTGACAATGTAATTTTAAAATGTTATGTGTTAAAAGTTGACATTTAGCCTCAACAGTGACAATGTAATTTTAAAAAGTTATGTGTTAAAAGTTGACATTTAGCCTCAACAGTGACAATGTAATTTTAAAATGTTATGTGTTCAAAGTTGACATTTAGCCTCAACAGTGACAATGTAATTTTATTTAGCCTCAACAGTGACAATGTAATTTTAAAATGTTATGTGTTCAAAGTTGACATTTAGCCTCAACAGTGACAATGTAATTTTAAAATGTTATGTGTTCAAAGTTGACATTTAGCCTCAACAGTGACAATGTAATTTTAAAATGTTATGTGTTAAAAGTTGACATTTAGCCTCAACAGTGACAATGTAATTTTAAAATGTTATGTGTTCAAAGTTGACATTTAGCCTCAACAGTGACAATGTAATTTTAAAATGTTATGTGTTCAAAGTTGACATTTAGCCTCAACAGTGACAATGTAATTTTAAAATGTTATGTGTTCAAAGTTGACATTTAGCCTCAACAGTGACAATGTAATTTTAAAATGTTATGTGTTAAAAGTTGACATTTAGCCTCAACAGTGACAATGTAATTTTAAAATGTTATGTGTTCAAAGTTGACATTTAGCCTCAACAGTGACAATGTAATTTTAAAATGTTATGTGTTAAAAGTTGACATTTAGCCTCAACAGTGACAATGTAATTTTAAAATGTTATGTGTTCAAAGTTGACATTTAGCCTCAACAGTGGCAATGTAATTTTAAAATGTTATGTGTTAAAAGTTGACATTTAGCCTCAACAGTGACAATGTAATTTTAATATGTTATGTGTTAAAAGTTGACATTTAGCCTCAACAGTGACAATGTAATTTTAAAATGTTGTTTACAGTGTCAGCTGCCCGACCTCTGCGCTATACTTTACCTACATTTCTGGATACACCAGTGAATATAACAGCAGTTGTTGGTTCAACTGTAATTCTACCCTGCACTGTGCAAAATCTAGGGCCTAAATCAGTAAGTGGACTACAAAGATCAATTATCATTAACTGTAGTGTTAACTCTTTCTAGACCAGAGGGTTTTTACACCACCTGACATTATTTCTTTCATGACCCAATTTTTACTTAAACAGTTACAGCTCCTTTGTTTTTCTAACCAGATTTATGCATTATACATCACAATGAACACACATGAATTTTCTATAATAGTAAATGAAGATAATTGTGAGTTAAATTAAAGAAAGTAGGTTTTTTTAATATGTTAAAGTGACTAGAACCTGACTTAGGGATATTTATGTTAACAGCCAGAACGGTTAGATTGTCAGATACCAAGGCCAGAACGGTTAGATTGTCAGATACCAAGGCCAGAACGGTTAGATTGTCAGATACCAAGGCCAGAACGGTTAGATTGTCAGATACCAAGGCCAGAACGGTTAGATTGTCAGATACCAAGGCCAGAACGGTTAGATTGTCAGATACCAAGGCCAGAATGGTTAGATTGTCAGATACCAAGGCCAGAACGGTTAGATTGTCAGATACCAAGGCCAGAACGGTTAGATTGTCAGATACCAAGGCCAGAATGGTTAGATTGTCAGATACCAAGGCTAGAACGGTTAGATTGTCAGATACCAAGGCCAGAACGGTTAGATTGTCAGATACCAAGGCCAGAATGGTTAGATTGTCAGATACCAAGGCCAGAACGGTTAGATTGTCAGATACCAAGGCCAGAACGGTTAGATTGTCAGATACCAAGGCCAGAACGGTTAGATTGTCAGATACCAAGGCCAGAACGGTTAGATTGTCAGATACCAAGGCCAGAATGGTTAGATTGTCAGATACCAAGGCCAGAATGGTTAGATTGTCAGATACCAAGGCCAGAACGGTTAGATTGTCAGATACCAAGGCCAGAATGGTTAGATTGTCAGATACCAAGGCTAGAACGGTTAGATTGTCAGATACCAAGGCCAGAACGGTTAGATTGTCAGATACCAAGGCCAGAACGGTTAGATTGTCAGATACCAAGGCCAGAATGGTTAGATTGTCAGATACCAAGGCCAGAACGGTTAGATTGTCAGATACCAAGGCCAGAACGGTTAGATTGTCAGATACCAAGGCCAGAACGGTTAGATTGTCAGATACCAAGGCCAGAACGGTTAGATTGTCAGATACCAAGGCCAGAACGGTTAGATTGTCAGATACCAAGGCCAGAACGGTTAGATTGTCAGATACCAAGGCCAGAACGGTTAGATTGTCAGATACCAAGGCCAGAACGGTTAGATTGTCAGATACCAAGGCCAGAACGGTTAGATTGTCAGATACCAAGGCCAGAACGGTTAGATTGTCAGATACCAAGGCCAGAACGGTTAGATTGTCAGATACCAAGGCCAGAACGGTTAGATTGTCAGATACCAAGGCCAGAACGGTTAGATTGTCAGATACCAAGGCCAGAACGGTTAGATTGTCAGATACCAAGGCTAGAACTGTTAGATTGTCAGATACCAAGGCTAGAACTGTTAGATTGTCAGATACCAAGGCTAGAACTGTTAGATTGTCAGATACCATACTTGGCTGTGGTTGCTGGGCTTCAGCTACTCACCAAATAAAATGTCAGCGTTGACGTGGCAGATTTCCAACAGCCAGTGGAATATTTTTTTCCACCACTTGTGGCTTTTTCTTTTGTGGCAGCCATAGTAGCCAACTAGCTGATCTGCTCTATCACAACCATTCATATTTTAATTCATAAATTTATGGCTGTTGGCTTTTTGACATCAACATGTTTGGTTTTGATTAGTGTTGTGCTAACACTTCCTTGACTGGTCACAACTGACACAAAACTTTTTATCCCTAAATGCCACTGTAAGTCACTTAACTTGTCTTCATGCTTGTACCACTTCTTATCCATATGGCTCAAGACAAGAGACTTGAGTGCAGGAAGAAAATTTTTCCGTCTTGTGTCGACTGTATAATGTCTTCACAACTAAGAAACTCAAGCAGAGGTACAGAGTTATAAAACCTATCTGCAAAAATATGGTGACATTTTGTTAGTGGTGCCAGAAAATTTTTGAAAAACCTTTTCAGCTATGGTGCTATTGCTGTCTAGGTCTGGATGGTAAGCAGTCGCAGAACCGTAGTACGTACACAAATTTACGACATACCCCGTCATACTGTCGCACAAGCCAAATGCTTTTAATATGATACTTAGAAGGCTTTGTGTCATTGAACTGTTTAATATGATACTTAGAAGGCTTTGTGGCATTGAACTGTTTAATATGATACTTAGAAGGCTTTGTGTCATTGAACTGTTTAATATGATACTTAGAAGGCTTTGTGTCATTGAACTGTTTAATATGATACTTAGAAGGCTTTGTGGCATTGAACTGTTTAATATGATACTTAGAAGGCTTTGTGTCATTGAACTGTTTAATATGATACTTAGAAGGCTTTGTGGCATTGAACTGTTTAATATGATACTTAGAAGGCTTTGTGGCATTGAACTGTTTAATATGATACTTAGAAGGCTTTATGGCATTGAACTGTTTAATATGATACTTAGAAGGCTTTGTGGCATTGAACTGTTTAATATGATACTTAGAAGGCTTTGTGGCATTGAACTGTTTGTTCTTCCACCTTCCCTTATATCCAATGACCATTTCATCGACAGATAAATTAAGATCGGGGTAAAATGCTTCTTGGAATGATGACATCAATGTATTGAGAAAGGGCTCATGTAAAAATGTGTGGTCAAGGGCCTGAAATCTGTTTCTGGCCATGGTTAGTCCATACCAAAGTGGGCTTCTTTTACAGACCATTAGCTTTTTATTGAAGGCCTATGGTTGAGGCCAATAGCTATCAAAATAGCAAAAAATTTCAACAACCCTTGCCTCATTACTGGTTGAAATTTGCAGTAGACTGAATGCCTGAGTTGAGGAAACACTAATTTCCCTATTGAATACACATTGATATTAGCTAATAATAGCTCAACCAATGATCTGGCTTCTTTATAAAGTGAGCAGGCAATCTAGCTCAGTTGACTCTGTTATCTATATCGATGGTCTCGGTCGCAAACCGTCTAACTCCGAAAATGTAAATTTTACAGGAGAGACAAAAAACTGATTATTTCCTTCTCGATCGCTCTAATACAAATTTTTTTTAAAGATATCTCCGAAGAAACTCTCTACCGACTATACTGTAGCGTTTTAAAATGTGTTTTGTTAATATTTACAAAATTATAGCAGGTTTAAAAAGATAGACGGTTTGCTCGGTCTAAAATTCTCGGTGCAAACCGTCTATATGTGCGCGCGCAGACTTAGCTGTTTTGAGCCGAGAATTTCGGTCTCAGCCGCGTTCGTTCGTTTTGTCCAATGAACGTGATTTAGTTATGTTTATGTTTTTAAGTTATAATTAACACTTCATAATATTTAGATTATAGTTTTGGGGTCATATTTTAATTATTTGAATTTATTCTACATTATGGGGTCAGTTTAAATTTTAGTAGAGATGTTTTAGTATGGCTTTATCGCTTTCAACTGTATTCATTATGTCTGTATTTAGCACTAGACTTGTTAACTGTTATGCTTTATTTATCTTTCTATTCTCACAGTTTATTTAACTAAATCTGGTGGGTGCTGGGTTTGTAGAATGATAATAGTAAAAACAGAAACCGTATTGTCAGATATATTATGAATGAGACATAACACACTAATCACATTAATACTGACTTAATGTTTACTTATTTTACAAAAATGTAACACAAAAACATGTGTTTATTTTAAAAATTTATTCTTGGAATAAACGTCACATAAAGAAAAATTAAAATGGCAACATATTTTTAAAATCAGGGAAATCATCATAAAAAGGTGTGTTTATGACTTGCTTTTAGGTGCTCAAATATGACAGCTTTTATTTTTTTTTTTCTGCTCTTGTACAACTTGACAGGGGTACAGATGAGATCATAATCTTACGACCCTAGCTTAGCAATTGCCATCTATCTGCTAATTCACTTTTAAGTAGACAGTAGCATCAGGTTTGTACTGCAGTGCACGAATATCTGTCGCTTTGAATTCTTGATAGGTCTGACTTGTCTTTTGAGATCGGCTGGTTTCTTGTATGGTAAGGCTGGTCTTTTTGAGAGGTTGGTGTCTAATGTCTGTTATGTGAGGCTGGTCTATTGTATGTTACGACTGGTCTGTTGAGAAAGGCTGGTGTCTTGTATGGTAAGACTGGTGTGTTGAGAGAGGCGTGTCTACTGTAGGATAAGACTAATCTTTTGAGAGAGGCCGGTCTCTTGTATGGTAAGAATGGTCTGTTGAGAGAGGCTGGTATCTTAGAGGGTAAGATTGGTTAGTTGAGAGAGATTGGTCTTTTGTATATTACGACTGGTCTGCTGAGAGAGACTGGTCTCTTGTGAGTTACTGGTGCCTTAATGTTACGACTGGTCTGTTTTGAAAGGCTGGTGCCTTTACGATTTGTCAGTTGACAGATGCTGGTGCCTTGTATGGTAAGACTGGTCTGTTGAGAGAGGTTTGTCTGTTGAGATAGGCTGGTCTGTTGAGAGAGGCTGGTATGTTGAGAGAGGCTGGTCTGTTGATAGAGACTGGTCTGTTGAGAGAGGCTAGTATGTTGAGAGAGGCTAATCTGTTGAGAGAGGCTGGTCTGTTGATAGAGACTAGTCTGTTGAGAGAGACTAGTATGTTGAGAGAGGCTGGTCTGTTGAGAGAGGCTGATATGTTGAGAAAGGCTGGTCTGTTGAGAGAGGCTGGTCTGTTATGTGGTAAGTCTGGTCTGTTGAGTGAGGCTGGTCTGTTATGTGGTAAGTCTGGTCTGTTGAGTGAGGCTGGTCTGTTGAGAGGCTGGTCTGTTGAGAGAGACTGGTCTGTTGAGAGAGGCTGGTATGTTGAGAGAGGCTGGTCTGTTGAGAGAGGCTAATCTGTTGAGAGAGGCTAATCTGTTGAGAGAGGCTGGTATGTCGAGAGGCTGGTCTGTTGAGAGAGGCTACTCTGTTAAGAGAGGCTGGTCTGTTGAGAGAAGCTGGTATGTTGAGAGAGGCTGGTCTGTTAAGAGAGGCTGATCTGTTAAGAGAGGCTGTTCTGTTGATAGAAACTGGTCTGTTGAGAGAGGCTGATCTGTTAAGCGAGGCTGTTCTGTTGATAGAGACTGGTCTGTTGAGAGAGGCTGGTATGTTGAGAGAGGCTGGTCTGTTGAGAGAGGCTAATCTGTTGAGAGAGGCTAATCTGTTGAGAGAGGCTGGTATGTCGAGAGGCTGGTCTGTTGAGAGAGGCTGGTCTGTTGAGAGAAGCTGGTATGTTGAGAGAGGCTGGTCTGTCGAAAGAGGCTGATCTGTTAAGAGAGGCTGGTCTGTTGAGAGAGGCTGGTCTGTTGAGAGAGGCTGGTCTGTTGAGAGAGACTGGTCTGTTGAGAGAGACTGATCTGTTAAGAGAGGCTGTTCTGTTGATAGAAACTGGTCTGTTGAGAGAGGCTGATCTGTTAAGCGAGGCTGTTCTGTTGATAGAGACTGGTCTGTTGAGAGAGGCTGGTATGTTGAGAGAGGCTGGTCTGTTGAGAGAATCTGGTATGTTGAGATAGGCTTGTCTGTTGAAAAATTAATCATAAAAGCATTTACTAAAGACAACTTACCATGTCGTTGAATATGTACGCCAAACATTTTTAACCTACCATATAAACATTTCTTAACACGTATCTAAACCCTCAATTTAAAGCTAGTAGTGAATTAACAATTATTAAATTCATTGCACATTCTTGTGGAAATATAATTCGAATTATATTGTTTTGATTGATATTTAGATTCTAGAATGAAGATCTAGTTTCAAAGCATTGTGTTAGCCCAAAAAATTGTAAACAAATCAGTTTGGTTATTGACAATCTGGAAATAGGCTATATTAAACAAATACTATTTGTTTATTATTCTTTAAAATGATAAAATGTAATAGAATAGTTGAACATAATTAATCAAATATCCTTACCTATAAGTACTGTGACTGCTGTGCTCTAAAATTGTTTGATTGCGGCGTGCGACTGCGTTCCCGATCAAAAGTGTACTGACAAATATAGCGATATTCGTTTTGCGCCGAGATTTTTAGCGCTAGAAATAATAGGCGGTTTGTTCAAATGATTATATCTCAATAATCATTCTACAGATTTCTCTAATATTTTCAGGCATTATGGGGAATCATATTGGCTTTTGATTTATGTAAAAAAAAGAAAATCGAATTTTTTTGAGTTAGACGGTTTGCGACCGAGACCATCGATATACTACTAAAACTCAAGTTTGTTTTCATGTTTGAATATATATTTTTTTTGTTTTTTGTTTGTCTGATTGAATACTGGAGAGAATCAGCGCTAGGCGGAGAGCTGTAAAATAGTATGTAGGTAGAGAACAATTTTTGTTTGCAGACAGACTGTTAATCAGACATTTATTTAAAGACGTTAATTAATTTATTGATTTATTCATAGGTAGATTAACCACATTAATTTTAAAAGATTAGAAAAACGACTTGACTTGACGGAATAGTGACGTCACATTATGTGTTTACTTTTTAGTACAATAACATGGCGGCTTCCATCATAGACTTTGTGGCCCATTCCAATGTTTAACGCGTTCTAAAGCTAATTTTCTGTCGGCTATAGCTTTAATGATACGTCCGTTTGCTGTTTTTATTACGTTCCAACACTTATATAAATTTTCAACTGTCTTTTTCATTTAGTTTTACAATAAATTTCTCTAGCTCTGCAATCTGTCCAAGAAAGTTATTTATATATCTAGATCTAGAATCTAGGTCAAAACAAACATTAATTAGTTAAAAATACAATCCAAAAAAAAAACTAGACTTAAGCAAGCCAGTTGTAGATCTAGAATATAGATAACTCTATCCCTATCTAGATTTAAATCTAGATAATAATGAGTTTCTATATACTAAACTATTTTAGACCTTTATTATTTTATATAAATCTTTGTTTATTTAGTTATGGAATATGCTAATTTGGAAATGCTCGATCCAGGGCCTATTTGCGTAACTTAAGATTCATTCGCGGCTTCTATATTGTTAATTTTGCAAAATTATAGACTTTAAATTCTAGGTCTAGCTCTATCTAAACTATTTCAGGCCTTAATATTTTACTTTATATAAATCTTTCTTTGTTTAGCTATACAATTGGCTAATTTAAGATAAAATTTAATTTGAAATAATTCTAGATCTAATACTAGGGCCGATTCGCGTAGATTCTTACGCAGACTAAAAGTAAAATATATAAGTTATTACCTACTACAGAGTACGAGTCTAGATAGCTAAGAAGAGGTTAGCACATAAGGTTACCATGCGGGTGGCACTGGTTCGAGGCATGGCAATTTTAATTTTTTTTTTTTTGGTTTTGTTTTTTGTTGTGAATGATAAAGTTGCATTTGCCTATTGGAACTTAGCAGGATACAGGGCAGGTGAAGTAGAGTTCCCCTGTTTCTTTGTCCTCAGTATAAGGTGGATAGTGTGGTCAGAGCCATATAGATATATATATATATATATATATATATATATATATATATATATATATATATATATATATATATATATATATATATATATATATATATATATATATATATATATATATATATACACACTTACATACATACAATATTTCTGTTTGACAAGCTGAAGAAGGATTACCATCTCTCATCTTGATGTGTTTGTCAGCCAGAGGTTTTGTTCCTGGTAAATGATGCATTCAAATAGTGTCAGATCTTATGTCACCTTGTATGTGACTTGCTGCTGTTTGCCCCACTTTTCTATATCCTTGTAGTAACATTTTCACCACCTTGTTACATGTTACTTGTGCCATAGATATAAAGCTTTGTGTGATAACAATACTGCATACAGTTTAGTTTAGTTTGTGACTGGCATGACTATAGAAATAAATGAGATGCAGACATAAGTTACACGCTCCACCTCCAGGCGACTATGGAGGATGTTGGTTTCACTCACTAAGTACTCTGTGATCATAGCGTTACGATTGGCTTTGATCCTAGTGCCATCCTTAAACCAATCTACACCTTTGGGACGGTAGTCAATAGCAGTTGCTGTACAATTCAGATCAATTGTTGACCCGTTCTCTACATAACTTGTACCCGTTAATTTGATGCCTGAAATATTCAAACAAGGGCAAGTTACCATCCCAGCTGTACCAGCAAGGATTAACTAAATTGATTGAAATTGATATAACCGCCACCTTTACTCTGCCATTTTATTTCTCTCTGCTTGTCTGTCCCCCGCGCCCCCCCCCTCTCTCCCCCACCTCTTTTATCTGGAAGCCAAAATGTTGTTTTGTGCAGGTGATATGGAAACGTGTGGATCAGATCACACCCATCACAGTTGGCAGCTATGTGTTTGACCCAGATAACCGCTACTCTGTATCTCACAATGACCAGAACACTGATGAAACACACAGATTTGGTCAGGATAACTCCAGATGGAACTTACAAGTAAACTTTTCACATTTTTATTTTAGTGCTAGTTGCATAGAAATAGTAGTTTTTTTTATGAATTTGACTGTTTTTGTCAAATATTTGAAATGTTTACAACTGTTTTTGTCAAATATTTGAAATGTTTACAACTGTTTTTGTCAAATATTTGAAATGTTTACAACTGTTTTTGTCAAATATTTGAAATGTTTACAACTGTTTTTGTCAAATATTTGAAATGTTTACAACTGTTTTTGTCAAATATTTGAAATGTTTACAACTGTTTTTGTCAAATATTTGAAATGTTTACAACTGTTTTTGTACAAGTTTTCACATTGTCTTTGAACAGATCCAAAATGTTAACATAGAACATGCAGGGACCTATGAATGTCAGATCAGCACAAAAGAAGATTTTGCCCGTAATGTCACTCTGCATGTCATTGGTGAGTTAGTGACATCTGGTAAGTTGGGTAGTGTTAAATATGACCAGAACTTTAGTCCTCTCTTGAACTATTTTGGCAAGTTGATGGGAAAGTTTAATGTCAAGCATTAGCATAAAAAATCTGCTGAGATAAATGGGAAAATGATAATTTTTTTATTGGTTTTGGTGTCTATTTCTGGTGTCTATGATATATAATATAATATCTAGTTGAAATTTTTAAGCTTTTCTCCATGACTTATTTGCTGCAAGTATTAGCAAAAACATATATATATATATATATATATATATATATATATATATATATATATATATATATACATGCTGGCATGTATTGGCAAAAACATACATATATATTTATATATATATATTTATACATATACATGTATACAATATTTTAAGAGGATTTCATCAATGTGTTACCAATTGAGTATTTTTAGACACGTGACCTTGTTTTCTAGAACGGAGTTGTTGGATTGTAAAGAAAACCGGTGCTACTTTTCTTGCATCATAGTGGTTAAGGTGTGAGTTGGTCCACAGTACAGCACCCCAGGGTAGTTGTGAGAAAGCTTAGAGTGTACGTGAATCACCCTCCGTAATAGTGAGGTCAAACACACCAGCGATCAGCTTGATGTCAGGGACCTTGTGTAGAAGTGGAGCCATGGGTTACACTACTGTAGAAGTGGAGCCATGGGTTACACTACTGTAGAAGTGGAGCCATGGGTTACACTACTGTAGAAGTGGAGCCATGGGTTACACTACTGTAGAAGTGGAGCCATGGGTTACACTACTGTAGAAGTGGAGCCATGGGTTACACTACTGTAGAAGTGGAGCCATGGGTTACACTACTGTAGAAGTGGAGCCATGGGTTACACTACTGTAGAAGTGGAGCCATGGGTTACACTACTGTAGAAGTGGAGCCATGGGTTACACTACTGTAGAAGTGGAGCCATGGGTTACACTACTGTAGAAGTGGAGCCATGGGTTACACTACTGTAGAAGTGGAGCCATGGGTTACACTACTGTAGAAGTGGAGCCATGGGTTACACTACTGTAGAAGTGGAGCCATGGGTTACACTACTGTAGAAGTGGAGCCATGGGTTACACTACTGTAGAAGTGGAGCCATGGGTTACACTACTGTAGAAGTGGAGTCATGGGTTACACTACTGTAGAAGTGGAGCCATGGGTTACACTACTGTAGAAGTGGAGCCATGGGTTACACTACTGTAGAAGTGGAGCCATGGGTTACACTACTGTAGAAGTGGAGCCATGGGTTACACTACTGTAGAAGTGGAGCCATGGGTTACACTACTGTAGAAGTGGAGCCATGGGTTACACTACTGTAGAAGTGGAGCCATGGGTTACACTACTGTAGAAGTGGAGCCATGGGTTACACTACTGTAGAAGTGGAGCCATGGGTTACACTACTGTAGAAGTGGAGCCATGGGTTACACTACTGTAGAAGTGGAGCCATGGGTTACACTACTGTAGAAGTGGAGCGATCAGATGATAGGTGTAGAAATACATAAAGAACACTTTCCAAATCCATGGCGATCGGATGATAGGTTTAGAAATACATAAAGAACACTTTGCAAAGTTCCATGGCGATCAGATGATAGGTTTAGAAATACATAAAGAACACTTTGCAAAGTTCCATGGCGATCTGATGATAGGTGTAGAATTACATAAAGAACACTTTGCAAAGTTCCATGGCGATCAGATGATAGGTGTAGAAATACATAAAGAACACTTTGCAAAGTTCCATGGCGATCAGATGATAGGTGTAGAAATACATAAAGAACACTTTCCATAGTTCCATGGCGATCAGATGATAGGTTTAGAAATACATAAAGAACACTTTCCATAGTTCCATGGCGATCAGATGATAGGTGTAGAAATACTACATAAAGAACACTTTCCATAGTTCCATGGCGATCTGATGATAGAACACACACTTTCACTTTCATATATATAAAGAAATTTATCTGTAATCGACCATTATTTGTGTGTATCCCTTTTTTCACAAAAAATTGCTGTTAATATAAGAAAATAAGACATCTGGTCAGATCTAACTGTCCATTGGATTTTTACTAAGAGCAGAACGTTCTTTTGTTATCATCCGGGGTGCGTCTACAACATCAAGGAGCTGCAGTCAAAAAGATTTTTTCAATATATAGCTCATAGAAGGAGAATTTTACTTGTGGTTTTTTTTTTAGCCCTCATTGAGTGCTCATTGTCTGACCAACTATCTATCAATGTGTGTACAAAAAATTAGCCAGATTACGTAGTGTAATGCGGCGACATAAACGTTCAGATGCAACCGCTGAACGGCATGCCCTGTATTTAAAAAATGCCTTTTTGGAAGTTGTTTTACCAAAAAATTCTATAAAATACAAAATTAACGTAATGAGAAAACTACAAGAAGTAAATTTTTTAAAAAATGGCCGCTCTAGTGTTATCATGACCTAGATTTACAATTAAAAACTTGGATTCTGGAAAACAACAAATTTAATAGAGAAAATTTAATTGGATGCTGGGAGCTTGGTTACAGTCAAAGCACCGTACACTATCATGGGCTGCCACAATCAATGTGACAACTTGCTGTACCCTAGTGTAAGGTACAGCTGGGTGTCCATGATTAAATTATGCCTTTGACATCCTGCTGTACCCCAGCATTAATGTACAGCTGATGATTTAACAGCTAAGTTGCTCTGATTGGGCACAGGGGTCATGTGACCAGCAGGGCTCTCCCATGAACACTGGGGCCTCCAGTGGCTCCAGCTTAGATCACAGCAACGCTTGAAGGGTACACCAGTATTGTATCAAATATAATAGTTGAGTATGTAAACAAATAAACTCATTTGCCTTGGAAATCAGTCCACTTGAGCTGACAGAATATGTTGAACACAGAGTTTCTTCCAGGCATCTCTTCGGGGGGGCGAAGCCCCCCCGAAAATTTTTTACCGCCCCCCCGAACGAAATGAAATTTATATAATTTATATAGAAAATATATACTTTTAACAGTGTCCGCCCCCCCGAAGAAAGTTTACCGCCCCCCCGAAGATTTCCAGTGCCCCCCCGGAGAAAAAAGTCTGGAAGAAACACTGGTTGAACATAATAGAACTTGAATGGTACTGAACAATCTTTTGTGACTTTAAATTTTTGTCTGTTCTCTTCATTGTCTTTGCCTCACTAGCCACACTCCTCGCTAGCCTCACTCCTCACTAGCCACACTCCTCACTAGCCACACTCCTCGCTAGCCACACTCCTTGCTAGCCACACTCCTCACTAGCCACACTCCTCACTAGCCACACTCCTCACTAGCCACACTCCTCGCTAGCCACACTCCTCGCTAGCCACACTCCTCACTAGCCACACTCCTCGCTAGCCTCACTACTCGCTAGCCACACTCCTCACTAGCCACACTCCTCGCTAGCCACACTCCTCGCTAGCCTCACTCCTCGCTAGCCACACTCCTCACTAGACACACTCCTCGCTAGCCACACTCCTCGCTAGCCTCACTCCTCACTAGCCGCACTCCTCGCTAGCCACACTCCTCGCTAGCCTCACTCCTCACTAGCCACACTCCTCACTAGCCACACTCCTCCTCCTCGCTAGCCACACTCCTCACTAGCCTCACTCCTCGCTAGCCACACTCCTCACTAGCCTCACTCCTCGCTAGCCACACTCCTCACTAGCCACACTCCTCACTAGCCTCACTCCTCGCTAGCCACACTCCTCGCTAGCCACACTCCTCGCTAGCCACACTCCTCACTAGCCACACTCCTCGCTAGCCTCACTCCTCGCTAGCCACACTCCTCGCTAGCCTCACTCCTCGCTAGCCTCACTCCTCACTAGCCACACTCCTCGCTAGCCTCACTCCTCGCTAGCCTCACTCCTCGCTAGCCACACTCCTCGCTAGCCTCACTCCTCGCTAGCCACACTCCTCGCTAGCCACACTCCTCGCTAGCCACACTCCTCGCTAGCCACACTCCTCGCTAGCCACACTCCTCGCTAGCCACACTCCTCGCTAGCCTCACTCCTCGCTAGCCACACTCCTCGCTAGCCTCACTCCTCGCTAGCCACACTCCTCGCTAGCCTCACTCCTCGCTAGCCTCACTCCAAACATTCTCCAGCAGGTGGTTTAAAAAAAACCATTCAAGGAGGTTTGTTTCTTCTTCCCTTTGAGAATGTTGTGGATATAAGTGTCATGTGATAGCTCCATGACCTGTTGCAAGTTTTTCACTTTGAGAATTGTGGTTCCTCTTATCTCAAATTTGTCCTGCATTTCAAAACTAAACATTGCTTGCCTGATCTACCAAAAATCTTGGATGTTGAGTTTGAGATACCATTGTGCTATTGTTTCTTTACATTTTTTAAAATTTGTCAAGACAATGTGCTAATATTAGATTGGAGGCAATTAATTAAATTAATTAAATCTATTTTTTACAGAAGACAAAAATTCACGTTTGTTGGAGAAAAAAACAGGTCAGTGGTTACATCTCATTAGCACTGGTTGGTTAGTGCGGGTGGGCTGGTTGGTTGGTGTGGGTGGGCTGGTTGGTTGGTGGGGGTGGGCTGGTTGGTTGGTGTGGATGGGCTGGTTGGTTGGTGGGGGTGGGCTGGTTGGTTGGTGCGGGTGGGCTGGTTTGTTAGTGGGGGTGGGCTGGTTGGTTGGTGCGGGTGGGCTGGTTGGTTGGTGGGGGTGGGCTGGTTGGTTGGTGTGGATGGGTTGGTTGGTTAGTGTGGGTGGGCTGGTTGGTTAGTGTGGGTGGGCTGGTTGGTTAGTGTGGGTGGGCTGGTTGGTTAGTGTGGATGGGCTGGTTGGTTAGTGCGGGTGTGCTGGTTGGTTAGTGTGGGTGGGCTGGTTGGTTAGTGTGGGTGGGCTGGTTGGTTAGTGTGGGTGGGCTGGTTGGTTAGTGTGGGTGGGCTGGTTGGTTAGTGTGGGTGGGCTGGTTGGTTAGTGGGGGTGGGCTGGTTGGTTAGTGGGGGTGGGCTGGTTGGTTGGTGAGGATGGGCTGGTTGGTTAGTGCGGGTGGGCTGGTTGGTTGGTGTGGGTGGGCTGGTTGGTTGGTGTGGATGGGCTGGTTGGTTAGTGTGGGTGGGCTGGTTGGTTAGTGTGGTGGTGCGGATGGGCTGGTTGGTTAGTGCGGGTGGGCTGGTTGGTTAGTGTGGATGGGCTGGTTGGTTGGTGCGGGTGGGCTGGTTGGTTGGTGCGGGTGGGCTGGTTGGTTGGTGCGGGTGGGCTCGTTGGTTGGTGCGGGTGGGCTGGTTGGTTGGTGCGGATGGGCTGGTTGGTTAGTGCGGGTGGGCTGGTTGGTTAGTGTGGATGGGCTGGTTTGTTAGTGCGGGTGGGCTGGTTGGTTGGTGTGGGTGGGCTGGTTGGTTGGTGCGGGTGGGCTGGTTGGTTGGTGCGGGTGGGCTGGTTTGTTAGTGCAGGTGGGCTGGTTGGTTGGTGTGGATGGGCTGGTTTGTTAGTGCGGGTGGGCTGGTTGGTTGGTGTGGATGGGCTGGTTGGTTAGTGCGGGTGGGCTGGTTGGTTGGTGTGGATGGGCTGGTTGGTTAGTGCGGGTGGGCTGGTTGGATGGGCTGGTTGGTTGGTGTGGATGGGCTGGTTGGTTGGTGTGGATGGGCTGGTTGGTTAGTGCGGGTGGGGTGGTTGGTTGGTGTGGATGGGGAGGTTGGTTGGTGCGGGTGGGCTGGTTGGTTGGTGCGGGTGGGCTGGTTGGTTAGTGCGGGTGGGCTGGTTGGTTGGTGTGGATGGGCTGGTTGGTTAGTGCGGGTGGGCTGGTTGGTTGGTGTGGATGGGCTGGTTGGTTAGTGCGGGTGGGGTGGTTGGTTGGTGTGGATGGGGAGGTTGGTTGGTGCGGGTGGGCTGGTTGGTTGGTGCGGGTGGGCTGGTTGGTTAGTGCGGGTGGGCTGGTTGGTTGGTGTGGATGGGCTGGTTGGTTAGTGCGGGTGGGCTGGTTGGTTGGTGTGGATGGGCTGGTTGGTTAGTGCGGGTGGGCTGGTTTGTAGTGCAGGTGGGCTGGTTGGTTGGTGTGGATGGGCTGGTTTGTTAGTGCAGGTGGGCTGGTTGGTTGGTGTGGATGGGCTGGTTTGTTAGTGCGGGTGGGCTGGTTGGTTGGTGTGGATGGGCTGGTTGGTTAGTGCGGGTGGGCTGGTTGGTTAGTGCGGGTGGGCTGGTTTGTAGTGTGGGTGGGCTGGTTGGTTAGTGTGGATGGGCTGGTTGGTTAGTGCGGGTGGGCTGGTTGGTTGGTGTGGATGGGCTGGTTGGTTGGTGTGGATGGGCTGGTTGGTTGGTGTGGATGGGCTGGTTGGTTGGTGTGGATGGGCTGGTTGGTTAGTGCGGGTGGGCTGGTTGGTTAGTGCGGGTGGGCTGGGTGGATGGGCTGGTTGGTTGGTGTGGATGGGCTGGTTGGTTAGTGTGGGTGGGGAGGTTGGTTAGTGTGGGTGGGCTGGTTGGTTGGTGTGGATGGGGAGGTTGGTTAGTGCGGGTGGGTTGGTTGGTGTGGATGGGCTGGTTGGTTAGTGCGGGTGGGCTGGTTTGTTAGTGCAGGTGGGCTGGTTGGTTGGTGTGGATGGGCTGGTTGGTTAGTGCGGGTGTGCTGGTTGGTTAGTGCGGGTGGGCTGGTTGGTTAGTGCGGGTGGGCTGGTTGGTTGGTGTGGATGGGGAGGTTGGTTGGTGCGGGTGGGCTGGTTGGTTAGTGCGGGTGGGCTGGTTGGTTAGTGCGGGTGGGCTGGTTGGTTGGTGTGGATGGGCTGGTTGGTTGGTGTGGGTGGGCTGGTTGGTTGGTGTGGATGGGCTGGTTGGTTGGTGTGGATGGGCTGGTTGGTTATTGCGGGTGGGCTGGTTGGTTAGTGCGGGTGGGCTGGTTGGATGGGCTGGGTGGATGGGCTGGTTGGTTGGTGTGGATGGGCTGGTTGGTTAGTGTGGGTGGGGAGGTTGGTTAGTGTGGGTGGGCTGGTTGGTTGGTGTGGATGGGGAGGTTGGTTAGTGCGGGTGGGTTGGTTGGTGTGGATGGGCTGGTTGGTTAGTGCGGGTGGGCTGGTTTGTTAGTGCAGGTGGGCTGGTTGGTTGGTGTGGATGGGCTGGTTGGTTAGTGCGGGTGGGCTGGTTTGTTAGTGCTGGTGGGCTGGTTGGTTGGTGTGGATGGGCTGGTTGGTTGGTGCGGGTGGGCTGGTTGGTTAGTGCGGGTGGGCTGGTTGGTTAGTGCGGGTGGGCTGGTTGGTTAGTGCAGGTGGGCTGGTTGGTTGGTGTGGATGGGGAGGTTGGTTGGTGCGGGTGGGCTGGTTGGTTAGTGCGGGTGGGCTGGTTGGTTAGTGCGGGTGGGCTGGTTGGTTGGTGCGGATGGGCTGGTTGGTTGGTGTGGATGGGGAGGTTGGTTGGTGCGGGTGGGCTGGTTGGTTAGTGCGGGTGGGCTGGTTGGTTAGTGCAGGTGGGCTGGTTGGTTGGTGTGGATGGGGAGGTTGGTTAGTGGGGGTGGGCTGGTTTGTTAGTGCGGGTGGGCTGGTTGGTTGGTGTGGATGGGCTGGTTGGTTAGTGCGAGTGGGCTGGTTGGTTGGTGTGGATGGGCTGGTTCGTTAGTGCGGGTGGGCTGGTTGGTTGGTGTGGATGGGCTGGTTGGTTGGTGTTGATGGGTTGGTTGGATGGGGTGGATGGGCTGGTTGGTTAGTGCGGATGGGCTGGTTGGTTGGTGTGGATGGGCTGGTTGGATGGGGTGGATGGGCTGGTTGGATGGGGTGGATGGGTTGGTTGGTTGGTGTGGATGGAGTGCAGATGAGTTGGTTGGTGTGGATGGGCTGGTTGGTTGGTGTGGATGGGCTGGTTGGTTGGTGTGGATGGGCTGGTTGGTTGGTGTGGATGGAGTGCAGATGGGTTGGTTGGTGTGGATGGGCTGGTTGGTTGGTGTGGATGGAGTGCAGATGGGTTGGTTGGTGTGGATGGGCTGGTTGGTTGGTGTGGATGGAGTGCAGATGGGTTGGTTGGTGTGGATGGGCTGGTTGGTTGGTGTGGATGGAGTGCAGATGAGTTGGTTGGTGTGGATGGGCTGGTTGGTTGGTGTGGATGGAGTGCAGATGGGTTGGTTGGTGTGGATGGGCTGGTTGGTTGGTGTGGATGGAGTGCAGATGAGTTGGTTGGTGTGGATGGGCTGGTTGGTTGGTGTGGATGGAGTGCAGATGGGTTGGTTGGTGTGAATGGGGTGGTTGGTTGGTGTGGATGGAGTGCAGATGGGCTGGTTGGTTGGTGCAGATGGGCTGGTTGGTTGGTGCGGGTGGGCTGGTTGGTTGGTGTGGATGGGCTGGTTGGTTAGTGTGAGTGGGCTGGTTTGTTAGTGCAGGTGGGCTGGTTGGTTGGTGTGGATGGGGAGGTTGGTTGGTGTGGATGGGGAGGTTGGTTGGTGTGGATGGGGTGGTTGGTTGGTGTGGATGGGCTGGTTGGTTAGTGCAGATGGGCTGGTTTGTGTGGATGGGCTGGTTGGTTGGTGCGGGTGGGCTGGTTGGTTGGTGTGGATGGGCTGGTTGGTGTGGATGGGGTGCAGATGGGGTGGTTGGTTTGTGTGGATGGGCTGGTTGGTTGGTGCGGACGGGCTGGTTGGTTGTTGCGGATGGGCTGGTTGGTTGGTGTGGATGGGGTGCAGATGGGCTGGTTGGTTGGTGCAGATGGGCTGGTTGGTTGGTGCGGGTGGGCTGGTTGGTTGGTGTGGATGGGCTGGTTGGTTAGTGTGAGTGGGCTGGTTGGTTGGTGCAGATGGGCTGGTTGGTTGGTGTGGATGGGGAGGTTGGTTGGTGTGGATGGGCTGGTTGGTTGGTGTGGATGGGCTGGTTGGTTAGTGTGAGTGGGCTGGTTGGTTGGTGCAGATGGGCTGGTTGGTTGGTGTGGATGGGCTGGTTGGTTGGTGTGGATGGGGAGGTTGGTTGGTGTGGATGGGGAGGTTGGTTGGTGTGGATGGGGTGGTTGGTTGGTGCGGGTGGGCTGGTTGGTTGGTGTGGATGGGGAGGTTGGTTAGTGCGGGTGGGTTGGTTGGTGTGGATGGGCTGGTTGGTTAGTGCAGATGGGCTGGTTGGTTAGTGTGGATGGGCTGGTTGGTTGGTGTGGATGGGGAGGTTGGTTGGTGTGGATGGGGTGCAGGTGGGCTGGTTGGTTGGTGTGGATGGGCTGGTTGGTTAGTGCAGATGGGCTGGTTGGTTAGTGTGGATGGGCTGGTTGGTTGGTGTGGATGGGGAGGTTGGTTGGTGTGGATGGGGTGCGGGTGGGCTGGTTGGTTGGTGTGGATGGGCTGGTTGGTTAGTGTGAGTGGGCTGGTTTGTTAGTGTGGATGGGCTGGTTGGTTGGTGCGGATGGGCTGGTTGGTTGGTGCGGATGGGCTGGTTGGTTGGTGCGGATGGGCTGGTTTGTTAGTGCGGGTGGGCTGGTTGGTTGGTGCGGATGGGCTGGTTGGTTGGTGTGGATGGGGTGCAGATGGGCTGGTTGGTTGGTGCAGATGGGCTGGTTTGTTAGTGCGGGTGGGCTGGTTGGTTGGTGTGGATGGGCTGGTTGGTTAGTGTGAGTGGGCTGGTTTGTTAGTGTGGATGGGCTGGTTGGTTGGTGCGGATGGGCTGGTTGGTTGGTGCGGATGGGCTGGTTGGTTGGTGTGGATGGGGTGCAGATGGGCTGGTTGGTTGGTGCAGATGGGCTGGTTGGTTGGTGCGGGTGGGCTGGTTGGTTGGTGTGGATGGGCTGGTTGGTTAGTGTGAGTGGGCTGGTTGGTTGGTGCAGATGGGCTGGTTGGTTGGTGTGGATGGGCTGGTTGGTTAGTGTGAGTGGGCTGGTTTGTTAGTGTGGATGGGCTGGTTGGTTGGTGCGGATGGGCTGGTTGGTTAGTGCGGAAGGGCTGGTTGGTTCTCCTGGCTGGGATGGTAACTTGCCCTTGTTTGAATATTTCAGGCATCAAATTAACGGGTACAAGTTATGTAGAGAAAGGGTCAACAATTGATCTGAATTGTACAGCAACTGCTATTGACTACCGTCCCAAAGGTGTAGATTGGTTTAAGGATGGCACTAGGATCAAAGCCAATCGTAACACTATGATCACAGAGTACTTAGTGAGTGAAACCAACATCCTCCATAGTCGCCTGGAGGTGGAGCGTGTAACTATGGATGATGCTGGCACTTATGTCTGCAGGTTTTCACAGGAACATGTTGAAAGTGTCAAAGTCATTGTTTTAAATAGTAAGTCAGCATTTATGTTATGTGTCAATGTTGAGCAAATATTTAACTAGACTAGTGGTGCCATGGTCACTTAAATATCACCTGATACAAATTATACAAATTACCTTCCTTTGCTTAAAATTGTAAAAAATTCAAATGACTTCCCTTAGTTGTTTTTGCGTTAAAATAAAAATAAATTGATTCTGTGCAATATGGTAGGTAAAACAAACGTACTTGAAATACTATCTTCCATTATATTTGAACTGAATGAACATAAGAACTAAATGTGAACTAGTAGGAGGGTGGGGGAATAAAAAGAGAATGACATCACAATTTCTTGTTTTCGAAAGTGTTATTTTTAATTTTATGAATGCTAGAAATTCATTAACATTTCAAAACTTTTTTTTGTAAATTGTCTTATAAATATATATATATATATATAATCTTCTATATATATAATTCTCTTCTGGGAGACGCTAGAAAACAAGCTGTAAGCGCGCTCCCTACCACCCCACCCCTACATGGTCTGGTGAGCTGTGGTTCACGCTATATGTTTACAATCATAGAGCAATCATACATCAACCTTACCCCCTATGAGTCAGTATGAGCATCCAAAAAACTAAACCCCCACCCCCCATACCCCTATCATGTGATGTGTGATAGTTAACACACGAACCAGAGGCGTATCCAGGTTTTCGTTGTAGGGGGAGCAAAAAGAGCAAAAAAAAGGCGCCGAATTTTTAAACACGTTCTATATACGTGTATTATATTACTAGCTGTATGTCATTACTTCGCTATGATGTAAAATAAATTGAAAGTAGCACACAATGTAGGCTGACAAAACAAAAATTGTATCAATCTAAACACAAAAAAAATAATGTACACACGCTACAACCAAAAACAATGAACGTAACACAATCTGTTTTGTAATTCTTGTAAAAAAAAAAATTTCTTACATAATAATTCCTGTAAAATTATTTAAGACAAGTGAAATAGGAGAAATAATCACTCTCTTAATATAAATATGTATATATCTACACATTTAATTATAAATGTCAAAACAAATAAATAATTACTTTAGAATATAATGAAATTGTTTAAAACTATTCGCGTTTAAAAATGTTTTTGTCTATAATCACAATTTATTATATCGTCATCATACATGCTAAAAAATTACAGCATAATGAAAGTTTTTAAAATCAGAGTTGGTATAAAACCATGCTTTTCGATATAATAGAAAAACATTCTGAAAAACAGCCTACATTTAACTAAATATTGGTCTTTTAGTCAGATCATATATTTTAAATTAACTACTGCTTCTTTGTGTTCTTTAAAGATCATTTTTTAACGTAGTGATAGGTATGGGTTAGATCACTGTATTGATCACACACCTTTTTACTGGTAATTGCAAAAACAATATTCACAGAGTTTTACGTTTAAAAAGCTAATTTACTGGCGGCATGGTACTTTGGTACATCATTACGCGTTTTTGTACATGTACTTAACAGATCAGGTTAGGTGGGGGGGGGGGGGGGGGGGGGGTTTGGTTCAACTTCATTCACCACTGTCCGGTCACTTTAGGTCAATTATCCACCCAGTGTATACCTAGGTGTGACATTAATGTCGCTCTACACAATTGTGGTGGTAAGGTGGGGGGGGGGGGGGGGGAGATAACCAACTCAGAGTGAACATAGCGTCAGTTTTTTAGATGACTGTTCTAAACATATATATAT